AACATCATGTTCTAGATTTGCCGTGTTTACTCACAAAATAATAGCCAAGGTAATAAACCCAGTCCTCTGAGAGGTGTGGGCTGGACAAATAACCCCAGGGGATATTCTTTCTAGTCTGTGATTGCTGAGATCAGGAGAGAATGGGCCTGAACTGAAGAATCACTTGAATGTAAAGTAAAATAGAATTAAATTGCAACAAGCAGCCCAACAAGAGATCATCAGAGGATCTGTGACTGTCAGTATAAAACCAAGTTTCTTGTTTGATTACACTCTATGGATAAAATATTAAAACCTGTTTGTTTTTTCAGTATTCTGTGGGCCACTCTTCCCAATATAACATATCGCCATGTATGTATTAAAATGTAGTACTCTTATTAAAGATTCCCATACTTGTTTTCTGTCTTGATATCAAATGTAATACAAGAAATTTAAAGTTACAGTTTGAATCTTATAAAACAAATATTCTTCCCCAAATTATTTGTGGTGGGCAGTGATCTGCAATGTTTAGAAGCAAAAGTTAATATTTTTCTGATCTCACAGACATTATTAAACTTGAAGAAAATGCCTTCCTAGAACAAAAGCAAGCAGTAGGGTTTTTGTTCATACATTGAATAAGTACTTATGGAGCCCACACTATGTGCTAGGCACCAGGCTGGGTACAGGGCACGTGGAGGTGAATTAGACAGATGTGGAACCCCCCTTAAAGGAGCTTGCAGTTTAAAAGGGGATATAGATATTAAACAGTCACAGGGAATTCAGTTACCATGGGGATATGTGGCTCAAAGGGAATGAGTCTGCATTTTAATTGGGACCCTCGAGAGGAAAGTTCCATTTCACTGTAGATCTAGATCTAGGAATGGTATGAATGGGAGGAGGAGAGAGTATGTGCCTGGGGAACCCCCAGAGGAGCATGACATGGGGGCCCTTTCCTTTTTGTTTCTGCTGATTGCAGGAGGTGAGGTGGACGTGAGCAGGAGGGAAGGGTTTAACTCGTCTTCTGAGATTTTCAGTCGATATTGTGCTACACGTAGGTTTATTTGCTATGGGAAAGGAAATCCGAAGTTGTGTTTTTAGTGCCTTAGGAACAAACTGAATGGGGTCTGACAACCTGTCCTCCAGCATAGCCATGAAAAGAGCTTAAAATAACTTGCTGGGGCCCTGATGGGTAGCTCAGTTGGTCAGAGCATCTTCCCGATCCACCAAGGTTTCAGGTTCTGTCTCCAGTCAGGGCATATGCAAGATTCAACCAATGATGCATGAATACGTGAGACAACTCTCTCTCCCCCTCGCTCCCTCTCTCTTTCCCTCTCTCTCCCTACTCCCTCCCTCCCCTCCTCTCTCTCTCTCTAAAATCGATTAAGAAAAATCCACTTGCTGGCTTAATTTTGGTGTAGCTCAGTTGTCTGGCAGCTGAGATGAAGTGAGTTATGGGTATTTGAAGGCCTCAGAGAACATAGGGGAGACCCACTTGGGACTTTCTCACAGGTTCGGAGCTGCTTCAAGCAAATGTTTAGTGTATAGAGAATGAACTGAGGTGTCCTTTGGAGCTTGTTGGAGGCATCAGGGAATGGGGAACCACCCTGCCTTTAAAGATGGCTGGGGGACAATGACAATATTTGCTCTTTGGTTGTCCAACATCCATTTACCCTTCCAGATTTCCATTTGAGGACACTCCTTGCCTTGGTATACGGTCTGCTGGGGCCACAGTGAGGGCCCCATTCTCCTCTGCCATGAGTGGCCCCGTGAGCCTCTTGCTGGAGTCTGGGCCCAATGCCAAGGGCCAGGGAGATTCTGCTGCCTAGGGTGTGTCCTGACCAGACCATCTGTTCCAACCACGTTGTTGTTGTGGTCTGGCTTCCAGTCCCCTGAAGCTGGGCCACTGCTGGCTTCTCCAGCCTCCCCTCAGTTCCTTAAACCGATACTACATTTCCTCTGGTTTTATTTGCCAGATTGGTTTCTGTTGCTTCTACCCAAAGAATCCCTGACTGTCAAAGGCCTAGAGAGGCTGAAGTAGCTTACCCGCCGTCACAAAGGGAACAAGGGGCAGAGCTGGGGCGGAGGCCGGTCATTCTGCCTCGACTGCCAGGCGTTGCCCAGAGGGCCCTCCCGTGTGATGGGAAGCACCGGCCTGGGAGTCAGAACCCGAATGTGGCTCCAGTCTCAGCGGTGCCCCTACCTCTGTGGCTGTAGGAGCACAGAAAGAGTGATCGGAGATGCTCTTACGGAGAAGTGGGCGTTCGTGCCAAGCCTTGAAGGACACGTAAGATTGCGATGAAGGAAGGCAATGGAAGGCTAGGTAGGAAGGACAGTGCAGGCAGGGAATGCAGGAAGAGCCAACGCATAGCGTTTTAAGGAATGATGGACCCTTTAGTTTGTGGAGGACCTTAAAAAAATTGATTTTAGAGAGAGAAACATCAATTTGTTGTTCCACTTATGTATATATTCATTGGTTGACTGAACACACAACCGTGGCGTATGGTGATGATGCTCTAACCAACTGGGCCACCTGGTCAGAGCTGAGAAGGACTCTTTTAAATGGTAAATTGCCGGAATCTATGTGTCCATTGATGGCAAAGTTGATATGAATCTTTTCCTTTCCCATTTTGGCTTTGATGTAGTGGTGGTTTTTACTACACCTGTGTTCTGTAACAAACCCATTACAAAGAAGACAGCTCAGACATTTCTAACATTCATCACCCCGCAACTTCAAAAATCACCACTCACACAGGCAGAATATTTCTGCTGATGGCTGATATTTGCATGAGGCAAGAACAACTGAACATTTTCTCCAACAAGTAGCATTTGTTTTTCACACTTCTGGGTGTAATTATTAGAGTTTACAGACAAAGGCTGCGCGCCCAGGAGAACTGCGCCGTCATCCCAGTTTCGGTGTCACACTCAGGCCCCTTTTGGAAGTGCTTCTGGAGTGATGCGAGTCTATGCAGGCTGAGTGCACGGAGACCAGCGAGCACTCAGCACGATCATCGAGTCTGGGCAGGGACAGCGGGTGTTGGACAGTCAGGTCATTACTGACTCCATCACCCAAGGCAGCTCTAGACATGACGTCAGCTTCATTAAGCCAAGAGAAGTGGCAGGTGACTGAAGACTCTTCAAGACCTCAGATATTTCTGATTTTAGGTCATTCACATAGCCTGCGGGCATCTTCCCACACAATTCATTGTTTTCGGTTAGAACAGCAATACCCCAATTTTCTCTGACTTCAACCCTCAGTTCATATATCCTATCATACACCGAGGGGGAGAAAGAACTGTGGTGTTTGGATCCTCTAGTAACATCTGCTCCGCCAGGGTTCCCAGGCTGGGGAACATGGCCAGGAGCCCCCAAGGGCATCACAAAAAGCTGGGGTCCAGGTGGATCCCTCCCGTGCTCCCTGCAGAGACCCACCTGCCCGAAGGCCCACAAAGCCCTCCACGCCCATGACTTTGGCCCCCGCTTTTAGTTGGTTTTTTGACTCGGGCTGACTTTGCCTATTGCGGTGGCGGATTGTTCGTCTTTATTTGGTCTCACCTCTTAGTAAATGATGGGCCAAAGGCTCTGTTTTCCAGAAGACGGTGAGTGGGGAATAAGGAAAGCAGAGGCGAATGAAGAAATGATTATTTGTTGGCAAATTCTGTGTGTGTGATTTATGAGCTGCGCTAAGAAGTAATATTCCTCGTACAACACACACACAGATCCTGCCTCTGTTCTTTAGAGAGACATCGTGCTTGTGTCAGAAGCCCTTTTACCTTTTACACAGGTACACAAACAGTATAAAACTTCACCCGAGCTTTTCAACGCGGTCTTTCTCTAGACTACTGTTGTCTCAAGTTTGTTGTGTGCGTGTCATTAGAAATAATACCAATAATGAGGTGTCGCCTGGCTGGCGGGGCTCAGGGGTTGAGCATCGACCTAGGATCCAGGAGATCGCGGTTCGATTCCCCATCAGGGCACATGCCCGGGTTTCGATCCCCAGTCGGGGGCGTGCAGGAGGGAGCTGATCAATGATTCTCTCATCATTGATGTTTTTCTCTCTCTCTCTCCTTCTCCCTTCCTCTCTCTGAAATCAGTGAAGATATATTTAAAATAATAATGATGATGACGATGATATGGGAAAGAGGAAAAGAATAACAAGTGTGACCGAAACATGGTTCAGAAAAAGGACTGCCCAGACCGCATCATTCCGACCAACTCATAGTCCTGACTTGTAATTCCTGTTTTTCTAGTCTTCCACCCCCGGCCAAAATAGCATTCCAATCTGTTTGTTACTTTCTGTGTGCCTCATTTGTTTCTTGATTAAGGGCCTGGAAGTCTCTTTTGTTCTCTGGCACCTGCAGGTCTTATTTGCATAGCGTGTGTATATAGGTGCAGATGGATGTTTATATAAGATAGCTGTTTTTCTGATCCACAGATTAAGACACCTTTGTCTGACAAATGCTGGGCCACCAGAAGGACAGGATGCTGGAATTTGGGACTTTGTAAAATGTGTGCTGTGTGATTCTGAGAGATGCCCCAATTTTCCTCCATTGCTAAGAACTTAACAGATTAGTCAGGCAAAATCACCATGTTCTGGGTAACTTCCCACCTTCCTTTTCCCTTAACGCCACTCCTAGCTCAGATCATTAGCAGTTGACTCTAATTCTTCCTTCTGCAAGGGAGAAAAATTCTTTGTTATCATTACATGAGCCAAGAATGACTTGTTCCAGATTCTTGAAAAGTTTAATTGAAAGTTTGATTATTCAGATCTCTTGCTTGTTTTCATTGTTTCTACCTGCCTTCTGCAAATTTCACTATTAATCAGCACCTTTGCCTGAAGGCAGAGAAGATAAGGTCAAGGGTTGTAATGAAACCTGGACGGCATCTTTTTCTTTATCTCGTCTTGGAGGGGCTCCTTACTTGGTGATGTTTCTGTGCAGAACCAGCTTTGTACATTGACCAACATGAATTGTGATGGGTTATCTGTGAATTTCAGTTAATCATCTTTTTGTTATCTCCTTTTACAGCAGGACGTTGAAAGTTAGCTGCAAAGTCACCTCCTTCTGGTGGTTGCCAAGACTTCAGGTCTTTTCCATTTGCCTACTTCTTGAGTCCTATCGCTATCAAGTTAAAAATGAATTAATGCCAAGTTCAGAAGAGGGTAAGTGTTTGGATCTGTTCATCAGTCTCAGACTACCTGTTATTTCCATATTTCACAGCCCAATAGAAAAGACTTTTAAAATCTGTCTCCATTGGCACAGATCACTGAGTTTACTATACATTGATTTCATTTTGTCCGTTTTGGTGTATATTTGAAGCACTGCTTGACTAGTTCAGTGACATCATTTCCCCCCCCTTAATCTCCAAAATATTTGTATCGGGGCTATGGTTGAAATTCACAAACACCATTTTTATTAGGTTTCTCATTCATTTACAAACTACATAAGCAGGGCGTGCCTTTGTATTATGAGAATATTTTTAGAAGACTAATGAGGTGGAGGGGTTTGTTTCATTTCCCTTGCTTTCCCTCTAGTCAGACACCTGCATTTGCCATTAATTACTACTTGCATGACATTCTCTCTTTCTTTGTCTGTTGTGCAGTGTTTTAAAATAATATTGAGAGGGAAGCTGGGTGCGGAGGCACATATCTGCATTGGAGTAAATAGTTTTTTTGGGAGCTGAATAGAAGGCTTATTTAAGAATAATGGCTATTTTGGTACCATTTTAAGAAGGTTTTGTTTCTTTTCATCTTTTTCTGCAATCATTGCTTGTTCCTTATACCTGATCTCCCTTGGTCACCTCCTTTTTTTTCTTAATCAAACAATTTTGAATACCCTTTGTGGCCTCTGCATTGTTTTAGGAATAGACAGTTGCTTTCTCTAGGATCCCTTTTTAGTAGTAGGCTCTTGGGTCAAACCAGTGCAAGGCAGTTGGGTTTGCAGGTGGCTAATGCTCACTATGGCATTTAAAAACATTTATTTTTGAAAGGTATTTTAAAAGAAGTATGTTCTCTTTCGGCAGTTCAGCCTATTGCTTTTCTTTTACTTTATGTAAACTTTTTATTGAAGTGTAACACACATGCAGGAAAGTATGCAAAGAAGAAATGTATAGTTTAATGAGCTTTCATAAAATGAACACGTGTGTAACCAGCATCCAGATAAAAAAATAGAAGCTTCCCTATGCCTACTCCAAAGGGGTCCCCTGATTTGTGACACCATCAGATTAGCTTTGCCTGTTTTTATAACTTAAATGACTCTCTGGGCCTGTGAGGTTCACTCATAATTTGGTGTGATGTTGGAGTTTGTCCATTCCCTTTGCTGTCCGAATTCCATTGTTTGAATTTCAACACTTGTTTTTCCACTCTACTGTTGACAAACATTTGGGTTTTTCCCATTTTAGGCTGTTACAATGAGTGCTGCTGTGAACATTCTGGGACATAGCTTCTGGTGAACGTGTGTGTCTTTATCAACTGTAGACCTAGGAGTAAAATTTCTGGGACACAGGGTTGGCACATGTGTAACTTTTGTTGACTTACCCCGTTTTCCAAAGTGGTTGTGCCAGTTTCCTCCGGCAGTGTATGAGTTCTAATTCATCTACATCCACCCTTGACATTGCCCGTCTTTTTCATTTTGGCCATTCTGTTGGATGCTTAATGGTATCTTGTGATTTTAAAGTTTCATTTCCTTGATTACTAAAGAAGTCGATCACCTTTTCCTGAGTTTACTGGGTATTCGTACCTTGCTTTAAAAAAATACTTTCATCTTAGTTATGTTCTCCAGTCATTTAAGTCACAGCCACAATTTCAGTGTTGAACAACAGTAAATAAAAAACTCAAAATAAGGATTTTATTAGCAAGTTGTGATATGAATATTTAGGCCAAAGAACAACTCTCCAAATCTTTGCTTTATTTTATTATCCCCACCACTAGATTTACAACATTGTTTTGGAAGTTTAAGGAACATATGCCGTTAAAATTCAGTCTTTATTTCTACTTCAGTCTTTCATCCCACATTAGTTGAGTGAATGTGTTGAACATCGTAAGGGATGCTAAGATGGAGAATTTGGTCTCGAACTTTAAGAAGTTCACATATGTACATGGCAGTGATGAAATGATGCTATTACAAAGCTCTAAAAATGTGCCCTGGGCACCCTGAGAAAGGAGGGATTAAGCCCTATGAGAAGAATACAGGAACATTTCATAAACATTGAGATGTCTTTGAACTTGACTGTCAAACATTTTTGTGACTGGAGGTGGAAGGAATGAGCATTTCCCAAACTGTGGCCCATTTTGGGGAATAGCAAGTAGTTCACAATGGCTGGATTATAGGATGTACAGAAGGATAGAGAAGAAAGTCAAAGGGTGTGAAATAAATTTTCTTAATACTCAAAGAGAGACTACCAATCAAAAAAGAACAAAAAAAAACTCATTAGAAAATGCAAATGAAAACACATGGAGACGCCATTTTTTTTACTATCCTATTTGCTGAGATTTAACAACAATGCTTGATGAGAGATTATATTGACAAATGTGTGGAGAAATAGTCTCCATTCATGGCTGAAAGGAGAATAAGTTGCAATAAATCTCTATGGAAGACAATCTGTCAATGTTGTTCAAAATATATATACTTTTGACCCAGCAATTCTCTTTTAGAAATGTGCTGTATAAATAGCTTATGCAAGAGCAAGAGGCTATAATGGTAAAAGACCTGAAATAACCTAAGAGTGCGAGATGGTCCCTCCATTTGATGGCTTCCCTTGCAGCCAATGAAAAGAATGGGGGAAATTCCGCTCTATTGATACATCGGTATGAAACCAGCTCCAAGATATATTGTTAAACTGGAAAAAAGGTGTGAAACAGGGAATAGATGATAGCATTTGTGTAAAATTTGTTGGAAAATCCACATGTATCTCAAAATAAACATCAAATTTATTACATCAGTTGCTTCCTGAGAGGAAAATTAGGTGGTTGATGGAAGGGATGGGAAAGTTTTCACTGTGCACTCTTTTGCAACTTTTGAATTTTGAATCCCATAAATGTATTACCTAATCAAAATAAATAAAATTGCCCCTGCATCCAAAATGGGAAATAAAATCATAGAGAATTTTGAGTTACAGTCTAGTAGTTATACTTTTTCATAATCTGTTAGGGTTTATAAAGTTCTTTTAAGTTCATTCCCTCCTTTAATCTTCACAATATGCAACTGAGGAAGCAGTTTTTATTTGTTTTACAAATGAGAAAGCTGAGATTCTGGTCTATAAGCAATTTGTACAAAACCTTTCAGTGACTGATACTAGATTTGGGAGCATCAAGTGTATTGTTTAAGAAATAGCTTCATTGACTGTAATTTTATTAAAATGACATAAGGCAAAGTATTAGCCTATTTTTAGGCTTAACGAATATGTACCGAATAATAATGGTTGAAGTTTAGTGATTTCAGAAGTTTATTAGCTCTTCCTGTGTAAGATGAAGACTGAAAGTTCGGTCATAATCCAGCTGCCATGCACTACTTTAATAGGAGACATTTAAACCCAGGTTCTGAGCACCCTTTCTTGCAGGGACAGGAAATTAGAACCGGTTGGTATAATTTTCCCAGAAAGAAAGCCCAGGGAAGAGGTGCTTGGTTTGGGAAGATCAGGGCTAGCTCCCTGGCAGAGCTGACGAATGGTCGGCCCTCGGGAATTGGGCTGTAGGTGAGTCCCTGGAACCATTAGAGTCATGAAGCAAAAACTACTCCAGTGAAGGTTTCAATCTTTTCATCTTTTAAGGTAGTATTCCATTAGAAAAGGCCCAGAATTGTTTTAGGTGAGGTGGGGGAGGGGAAAGGGAATTGGGTGGGGAAATGTTTTAAATCTGAGAACCCCGATGACACTCTTATTTAATGGTTTGCAGGTTGTTAGGGCTGGGGAGTCCTGGAAATTACCTAACCACGATCTCCCGAGGGCTGATGTAATACACAGAGTGAAGACTGTTGTAGGATTTTGTCCACGACTCTACAGTTCGTGCGCCTGGCATGAATTAACTTGAACTAGATGAAAAACTTTAGTACCAGGTCTCTTGAGGTGGCTCAGATGAGGCCTTTCTTAATCAGTAGAGCGACACCTAAAGTTTCATCCAATCTAATGTATTGTTTAAGGATGTTAAAAATTTTTTTCAGGCATGGAGGATTAGACCACACTGTCTGAGATTCCTGAAGTTTCAGTCCGCTACCGTGCATTATAGCGAGTGTCGGGGCAGGCACAAGGTAGACCAAGATAACCAGGTACCTGGTCATGGTAACTTGGCATGGGGCAGATCCTGAGCCCGTGGCCTCGGCTCTTCCAACCCTAAAATACAAGGTTGAACTACGTGCATTTTGCTGAGCTTCTTAAATTCTTTTCCTTATTTCTGTTTAGATTTCTGATCTTAACCCAAATCAAGTATTAGTCTTGTTGAGTAGAGCTTTGCGTGTCACTCTGGTGCCTGGGTAGTTCAGGTGCCCCTTGCCGATCGCATTCTGAGACGCGATCCGTGTCTGAGCTCCTTTCCCAGAGCTCGAACGGCCAGGAGGAGGCCTCTCCACCTTCGCCCCCGTCTTCCTTCTAGTTATTCTGTGAGATAATCCAGTTAAGAGCATCCCCAAGAAGTGTTATCAGTGGTACAGAAACTCTCTGTAGTCTCATTCATACTGAATAAAATGATTCCCTTTTACGGTTTTTGTGGTTTTTTTAAGAAAGGAAACAGTTGAGGTCTCTCTGGAGGTGTTTTTTCATTCAAGCTGCAAGATGTGCCGTGGGTGTTTTGTCTGATTTCTGAGAGCTTTTGGAGCAGGTTTATGTCTAGAGTGTTTTGTTTTGTATTTGTTGAGACTAAAATTAATAAAGAGCTTTTCTTTCAAACCCTGAGGATAATTAACACAGGCTTCTCCCCTGTGGTGCTTTTTGTCAGCCCCTACGTGGAAGAAAACAGTGAAAGAAAATTTCCCTTTAAGCTTCAATTCTTACATCTTTTCTAGTAAACTAAGGAACTTGGAGGGAAAAGAACAAGACGGATCACTGTGTGTGTATGTGTGTTTGTGTGTGTGTGTATTTGTACACAATTATAAAGTTTAGGTAATAAACACTAATGGCCTGGCCTTTGTAAGCCAAATTTCTTTTCTGGCTCGATTTTTTTTTTCCATTTTT